TTTTTTTTTGCTTGATTGTTTCTTTTCACATGTACGATCAAGTGGTTGCCTTGTTCTTTTTTTCTTCTTCACTCGTTTGCGTGATTGGCAACTAAATAGACCATTAGATTGTCTGCTTTATTTTCCGTTGATTACTGCAGATATTAACATGCAGGTGGGATGAATCATTCATGATAACTTCCAGGCTTCTTCCTGTATCCATAGACTGCAGATTTGTTATCTTTTTGTACACCTTTGGCAGGTATTGTATCTAATATACTAAGGGGAGTAGTTTTCCCTATGAAATTCTTCTCCCTTTTTTTCCTGCCACTGTCGCTAGCTGGGTCCAGTTTTCTTAATGAATAATAAAGGAGTGAAAATAATCTAACGGGGACAAGAAATATCTGTAATAAAAATACATATGGCAGAACAGAAAAAAAGCTGTGTGTGTTTTTATACCAAAACCATTCTTGTCCAAATTCAAGTTAAACAAATGGCAACCCCTAGGCTGTCAAGAGATGAAAAAATCACACAGCACAATGAATTTGCGTCACAATTTCACTGTCCATTTCCAGAGCAGGTGTTGGTGCGGGTAGCTTTTACAGTGCTGACTAGATGTAATACATGTACTCCATACACCGAATTTTTACTGAGATTACCACACAGCGCAAATTGGTGCTACACCACTAGGAGCGCCCTGTTGTACTAAATGATACCGTCGACAAAAGAGAAAACACCAAGTGAAGTCTTGGCAATGCCTTTGGAGGAAGGGCTATCGGACACTCATACATAAGCAAATTAATGAAAAAATCACTGACTTGTGTCTTATGTCAAATTCATCAGGATTTCTTTTATTAGTATATGCGTTAGGGGAACAGAATAAAGGAACACTGACTTACAAGTAACAAAATCTACAGCTTCATCAAGTTTAACTGTTTTTGCGAATAGCATGGCAGCAAATGAGCAGCATCTTTTTTCCGGACTGCCCTTGCGCCCTCCAGTGATTCCCGATTGAAAAGGCTTTTGAACCAAGGTGCACTATATGTGTGTGTGTGTGTGTGTGTGTGTGTGTGTGTGTGTGTATATATATATATATATATATATATATATATATATATATATATATATATTGTATCAAAACTATGCTTTGCCGGTTCTTTTTCTGCCCCCACGCTGAATGTTCCGCGTTTTTCGAGAGCTTAACTGTTGACACCTAAAACATTTGGGGTAGAGACGGCTGAAATAAAGAGGGGCCATGATGTTTGCAAAGTTTTAGATGGTGAAACTGGAGAATAGGGCCATGGCGTAGTTTTTCGTACCAATAAAAGTTCTCAATATACTCTGATCGTTAACCCCATGCACCTCAAACATTGTACTGGCATCTTGATACCAGCACCTCTCTTCCCTATGTCTCCCCCTAAAATGTTCCACATACGAAAAATCAATAATCGTATGAAAAATTAATACAGGCAATTGGCCTACTTTTCCCTCAATGCCCTTGCCGTCGCTATTTCAGCAGTTTTATAGCTTAGAACTGAAAAAGTGATTCACACTTAAGATATTAAGATGGTAATTATGATTTTACATGTAGGCCTATAAGCTAATTTCTGTTAGGTTCCACATTTGTGAGTGAAAAGATGCATTGGGCAAACGGTTGTCTGTAGGCCTCTTTCCGCTGACTTTTTTGTTTCGGATAGGTGAACTCAATTTATTCAATAATTATTTGTAGAACGAGGAGATATTAAGTACTTTTATTTTCAAGACATAGAGAGGGTAGGAAAGGACATAGAGAAATATCCATAACAGTCAAAATATTTAGACGCAAGAGGATTCCAGACATTGAAAACTAGACAACTGAGTTCTCTTCGCACTGGTCCAGGGAAGAGAGCTTTTAATTTGTATAAATTGATGATTATCCAGTTATGTGCTACTTAAGAATGTTCCTGGCATAAAATCCCATTCCGCTGAACATTTATCTCGTGGGTCTTCTGCCAAAAAATGGCATCTTCATGAGACAATTACATTAAATGGAATAAAAACAAAGCATTTCATTATTTAGATACTTGTTTATTTACTTTTAATGATGTAAGTGAGGAGAATAGTGATGAGTTTATATATTTATGTGATTTCTGTTTTTTGTTGACATCTATCAGAGACTGAAAACAGAATACTTGCATGGTAAAGCTAAGCATTTTATGAGCCTTTACTGTTTTTTTTTCTTGTGATTGGAATGTCTATTTTTAACGTTACAAATGCGTGTAAAGGCCATAAGTTAATGAACATATAATCATTTGTCTGTTGTCATGTTCTTTATTTGTCAGCAAATTGCAGGTTGGAAATCGATTTAGAAGTTTCATTCCGTGAATAACTTAAAGGCGCCGAATCCTCTATTTAGCTGGATTTTCCTGGAGATTGCAACACTTAAGTTTTCTCTTAATTCATCAAGATATGACTTATCCACAAAACGAGAATTATCATAGAATTACGATCCATCAACCCGTTTTGGAGTTCTGTTTCCAGGTTTAGAGTCAC